GTGTCTCTGGTGAGAAATACATAAAATGGTGATTGTGAAGCAGTTCGATATGGCACAAGGATCGTGGATTTTGGAGTCAAAGAGATGTGGCTTTAACTGGCTGTGGATGGGAAAGCTATTATCCCAAGGTTTGGGGAAGGGGTCTTATGCGGTGACATGGGAAGGACATGTTAGCGCTGAGTAGCCAGACAGCATGACAGAGACCCTTCCACAGAATGACTAGCAGGGTGCCTGGCCTGTTGGCATTTCTGGCCTGTAGAATTTTTTATTCTCTTTATCATTGTCATAATTAGAATCTGAATTCAAGTGAGAAAAGTATTGCTGGAAAGTACTGTTATTTTGCTTTGGAAAATGTATGGGGTCAATGAGTAACATCGACTTGAATGCTGGTTTAGTTCATGTCGATGCAAAGAATTTTCTTACACTTTTTAACCCACTGTCTCAGAAGGTAATGAGCCCTTTATCTTAAGGATATTCAAGAAGAGTCTCAATTCTGTCTCTCGGAGCTATTGCTAATGGTGTTAGAAATGCGTGTGGATTATTGAATCCCATACCTCTCAGACTCTGTCTCTCAAACTCTATTTTATTGTTTTTGTTTGGTTAGTAACAAAACTCTTTCTAAAGGAAATTACTATGAAAGATGAGTTTCCTGAAGCAAGAAAAATGCCAGGTTTCTGTCAGATAGTTTGACTGAACCTGTGTCCCTATATAATAACAGATTATCACAGTATAATTGCGTTACATGTCACAGGACACACAGCATTGCATGTGGGAGACCACAGTTACACAGCCTATTCCAATACTCCTAGCATAAAAAAGTATTATATTTAATCTTGACAATAAAACTGCCTCATAAAACTTTACAGGTAACAACTGAAATGTCCATTACCAAGGTCAAGATAAAATAAACTGCTGGATAAAGTACATGTCCACCATTCTTTATCCAAATTCCTTAGTGCTAGGGATTCAGAATATTTCCAGTTTTAGAAAAGTAACATTGTGCATGTACTAATATTATGTAATGTCTCTAGTAAAATTTTCTGTATTTTTGAAGCCTTTTGACTTTGGAATTATTTATAAGGGCTTGTGAAACTTACTGAAATACTAGTCTTAAAACACTGTGATTTTCAAGAAGACAATGATGTGGGACAATGCTCATAATGTAAAACAGTATCATTGAATGAATGACTGCACACAATATGGGTTTTAAAAGTAGGTGTCCTGAAATTTTAAAGTGCTACACAAAGATAGAAAAATGACTTAAAATGTCTGCAGCAAAATAGCGGTCATTTCTGGGTGTTAGGATAATAGGTGATTTTTGTTTTATTTGTACCTGTGTATATTTTCTAAAATTTCCATGAGGACTAGGAATAATTTTAATAGTAAACAAAACTGGTTTGCTGTTATACCTTTCCTGCGCATTTCAAAGTGGACACTTCGGGGGCACTTGCTCTCCCATCAGTTCTTGATCTGTGATTTATGAAAGCGTCTTCCCTTGAATTCCTAAAGCAGTGTGGCCAGTTGAGGGTGTCTGCTTACTGGAAAGGCCTAGAAGCAATCAGTCTAGTGACCTCTGGCTTTTTCAAAACACTCAGAGCCACAGCACCAAGGTTCTTATCGGTTCTGTCCAGAATGATGAAGAGATACTGGAAACCAAAGCCCAAGAGTCCTTTCTGCAGCCCTGTGAGTGTAACGGGGCAGCAGGCAGGGCTGCCTCCTCTGGTCTAAGGGCAGGGCACCCTTGTGCTCCGAGGACTGGGGCTTTATGTAGTTTAATGATTGTTAGGGATGCTGAAAGTTTTGTTTCAGGGAGAGCTATTGTGAAATAGCCTGCTAATTTCAGAAGCAATTTAGAACATGATATCGGGACTCCTTAACATTCATACCACTTTCCCGTCACTTTCTACGCGATATTAAAATGATTTGTTTAACATGTGGCTAATGCTCTTTGTGGATGGGAGCTAGACCTTATTCATCTTTATAATGGGGACACCTAGCTCAGTACCCAGTGTAATGTATACTAGGTAAATGCTTTTGGCTGAACTGATACATTTATAGGGAAATAGGTGTGCCTATACTTGTCCTGTGTGTACAGTGTAAATACACATACACATGCAGATGTGTACATATACATGTGATACATGTGTGGGTCTGCATATAATCTATCTCTGTGTCATCCTTTCATTTGTGTGTATACATTTATTCATTGTAAAAGTGCGCAGTGGGAGACACTAAGGAGGCAGCTGTAGTTACAAAGGCCATTTAGAGTTCCAGGGTATAAAATTGTAAGGAATTCCAGGTTCTAGAATTGAAAGTCCTCTTAGGCCAGCATTTTGCAACCCTAGCTGCAGATTAGACTGAGTGGAGTATTAAAAGAAAAGACCACCACCCAGGTATTCTGATTTCTTTGGTCTAGGAAAGGACACCGAAATTGCTTTTTGTTTAGAGCTTCCTTGATGATTCTGATGTTTGGTCAGGTTTAAAATTACTGTCTTGAATTAACTGGGATAATGATTTTCATAGAGGAAGGAATGCTGCCCTTCAAGGCACAGCTGAATGAAGACCTGTGTGTGTGTGTGTGTGTGCGCAAGTGTGTGTGAGTAGCGGGAGTGTCAGCTTCCAAACTGCACTCTGATACGTGACTGCCTTTTCCGAGTCGTATCTTGGCAGATATTGGAGGTGCTTCTTGAGTGAGCCCGGAAGGCGACAGCTCTGGGAACCACTGATCTCGAGAGGTGCTTTTCGAACTTTAATGTGGCTAGAAATCAACTGTGGTCTTGTGAAAGCACAGATTCTGATTCAGCATCCTTAGAGTAGAGATGGGCGTTTATGAAGTTTGATTTGGTCTGTCCTCTGGGCTTTGTAGTGGCAGCTTCCTATCTGATGTGACCCTAAGGCTGAACTTATAAAGCTACCCTTTTGGAGAGTTTGATGAGAAGCAATTGCCAAGAGGCTAACTGTCTGGTTAAAAACCCAAGCTCCCTAAAGGCCTCTTTATGGAGGAGACTGTTTGCACAGGGTGGAACTGCAGAGAGAAAAAGGAGCAGGCGCTAAACAACAGGGACTCGACCACAAGCCAAATGGAAACACCTAGCGGATATTGCTGAGATTGTCAAAGTGACCCCATGTGGCCCCCACGTTGGGTCTGAAAATCAAGCCGGCTGTAGTGGATTGAGGGGTGGCCCTAAAACACATGCATGTCCAAATCCCTGGTACTTGTGACCTTTGGAAAAGGGTCTTTGCAGATGTAATTAAGTTAAGGATCTTGAGATGAAATCACCCTGGGTCATCCAGGTGGGCCTTCCAAAGACAAATGTCCTTACACGAGAGAGGACAGGGAAACTGGAGACGGGCAGAAGAGAAGGCACAGACACGGAGGAGAAGTCCACAGAGGCCGGAGGCAGGGATGGGAGTGGTGCATGCACAAGCCAAAGACTGCCTGGAGTCCCCGGAGGCCGGACGAGGTGAGGAAGTATTCCCCCTTCGAGGCTTTGAACTGAGCAGGGGCCTGCCCACACCTGAATTCGGGCTACGAGTCCCAGACCATAAGAGAAATGCATCTGTGATTGTGGTAAGCCGCCAGTCTGTGGGGATTTGCTACGGCAGCCCTGGGAAACAAATGCAGCTGCCTTCCTGTTTGTCCCGTATGACAGTGACCCCACCGTCAACCACGTATTTGTTTAACCTTACAAGGAAGCTGCTGTCCACCACGCTCACCACCCACTCTGACCGTGGGTCTGAGAACTCATTGTCTGCAGGGTGCAGCCCAGCTCAGCCAGCTCTCTGGCTGACATAGGCCTCGCCTCCCCAGTTCCCGCCCCTCACAGGTTTCGGCAGAGGTGGGATAACAAAGAGGGGCGCTGGATTTGGAGTCAGATGAGAATGCCAGCCCCAGGTCTGTCACCCCTTTCTAGGCCATCGCAGACAAGTCACTGAGACAGAGGAGTTGATGCTCAGAGAGGTGCTGCCGTTAGCCCTCTGGAGGATCAGAGAGGAGGAGGGGGTCCCTGCGCCTTGCGTGGGGGAGATACTCCCTGGGTCAGATTCTGGGCCAGACGAGGAGCCCTTCAGTGGACTGTGTGCCATGGGACTCCCGCTCTGTGCCCGTGGCAAGAGGAGAAATGGCTGCTGGGCTCAGCTTCCGCGCCCATGATGGCGAGTCAGGTCACACCACCTGGCCCCGGGTTACCCTGGGCCATCCCCCAGGCTCCTTCTAGGACTAGAGACCCACCCAGCCAGGCAGTCCTCTTCCCTGAGGCTGCATCCTGCTTTCTGGAGGAAGGGTGGGCAACTTCCCGAATACCAGTCAGCTAGAAAACGGCAGGGCAGGGCAAGCTAGGTCAGCCTGGCTCTGAGACCAGGCTCCTCCCACACAGTGGCAGGGCGGTCACGTGAACAGCAGTGCTCCGTCTCCCCTTGGCAACACAAAGCAAATAAGCGGATGAGTAGATCCATTTTAAAATAAGCACAACAAATTTTCTCCATTTGAAGGTCTTTTTTTCACTGTAAATATTTCTTACATCTTAGAAGCCTGCTATCGTTTCACTGTATTCATGCACATCAGGGACAGGATGGCTCTTTTGCTGAGTCCTAAATGGACGCCCCCGCCCGCGCCGGGGCTTCTGCAGAGAGGGGCTGGACTCCGACTCTGCTGTTCTTCTAGCTCTACCTCCACGCACCGGGGTGTGCAGTGAGGGGTGGCAACTCTGGGGGCCCTTCCAGCACTCTGCTGCTGGGGGCTCTGTCCCTGTCCCAGGCACACACCTGTGCTGGGCAGAACGAATGGCCTGCCTGCAAAATAATACTATGGGCAAGGGGTCCACACAATAGCATCCAATGCACATTGTCAACCCTGGTCTCTCAGGCTCGGCCGTGACCCTGGAAATCCCCTTCCCAGGCGGGCGCACTGGGATCATTCCTTTGTTCCTGTTCTAGGATCTGACTCCTGTTCCCACTAGGAGGCAGGGGGTTGGGGCTCACAGTGACACGGTGGTACTTACTGTTTGTTCATAGCTCTTGGCACCCGGCAAATAAGAGGGATCTTCAGCTCAGCCTGTGGAAACAAAAGCAAACTCATTATTGGGCCTTACACATCACAGTTTAACGCTGCTGAACATGCTACTGTCACTCCTTGTTAAAGTGGGATACAGGTGCCAGCTTAGAGGAAAAGGCAGAAAGAGAGACCATCCAGGATGGTAATTGGTTTATTTCTGGAATGGGGAGGAGGAGGGGATTTTTCCCTGACATGCTGTCCTCTTTCTGTCAGTGTCACCCCATCTGCCCCCGGGAGCTGAGCAAACTTCCGGAGCCTGGTTTTCCCTGGTGTGCAATTGTGTTCTCCCCCTGGGCACCCAGGCACGTTGGCCCGGGCTGCACTGGCTCTGCTGGGTGGACTCCGGGCATGTGTGGGAGAAGGGACGCCTCTTCTTTCAAAGCGTGACCCTCCCGTGAGTAGGAAGGGACATTTCTGTACTGCTTCACACAGGATGCAGCGTTTTATCTGTGGCTTGTACTCACCCACATAGGAGGGGTCATTACCCCATTTACCATATAAATTAGCAGCAGAGACCCTGGGAGTCTTCAATAAGAGCTTTACATCAATGACCGCATTTAATCTACAGAAAGGCCCTGGGACGTGTAAAGGGTATTGACCATACTGTCAGTTGAGGTTCCAGCAAGAAACAGATGGCACCCTCAGATTGGGTAATTTGAGAACAGTTTGATAAAGAGACAGTTTAAAAGGTGTGGACAGATTGTATGGAATCCACAAAGAACAGCAAAGGACTTGGGGGTGCTGTAAGCATGCCTGGGCCTGGACGGGTCAGGGGAGCCAGTGGTCCCTGGGACCCGGAGACAGGGCTGGTGGAAGGAGAACTGACTTCCAGTTGAGGGAGCTACAGGGAGGGCGCTGTGGTGGGTGAAATAAAAATAAAACTCTCAGGCTCCTTCTCTCTTGAATCTCCTGCTCCTGCCTCCCATTGGCCAAACTCAACAGGAAGCCACGGGGGAGAGGCCCCTGACATGGTTTCTATTCATCAGCCACCTGGGCCCCCAGCTGAGGGCAGCAGGGTTGGGAGTGGATTTCACTGTTAAAGAGAATGAGGCTCAGGGATGTTAAATGATGTGCCCAAGATCACCCATCTGTAATAAGAGCCCAGATCCACAGGACTCAAAATTCCATTTTCTAGCCAGTCACCATGTTACACTCCACTGAGTTTTAGGTCCTTCGGGATCAGTTTGCCATCCATCTGTCCATCCGTCTATCCAACTACCATTGAATGAAAACTTACTTTGTGCAAATATAGTGCCTAAGAAGAAGCAGCCCCTGCCCTCAGAGAACCCCTAAAATTCAGTATAATGTAGACTCTGCATCCGTCTATGACGGCTATTCTCAAAGTGCTTTGCAAAAACAGATACATGTAAAACAAACCAAATCCTCACTTCGCCTTAGAGAGCCAGGGAAACCTTCCTAAGGAGGTGATACTTAAGTCGCGTCTTGTGGAATCAATCTGCACTCCTTAGACTCAGAATTAGGGGGGGGTGATCTGGGTAAATGGAGATGTTAGGATGCATAGCATGCCAGAGAGGCTTTGCACAGTGTGGCGAGGCCACAGATGTCAGCAGCTTGGATGTTGGTAGGATGGCAAAGGACTTGGGAAGATCCCCTGGGTTTTGATGGTTGAGGAGCATGCGTGACAAAGGATGAGATGTGAATTTGAGCTGTGTGCTCTTAGAGCAGTAATTGTAGGAAAGCTACTAAAGAACCAGGGCTCAGCTCCAGGTTCTTGGACACCTTGGATATTGTTTCACAGCCACATCTTCCTATCTAGTATTTCTGGGCCAGTGAATGACAGCAGGGAAAGGGGAGGCAGCTGCTAGCTCTCCCTCACCGACAGTCCCCTCTGAAGTGAGTGGGGCTATCTAGTGCTTCCTCTTTGGGCACTGTCTCCTCCGTGGTCCTGGGGGAGAGGACCTGAACCTTTGTCAGTATACTAGAGATGATGCACAGCAGATCCTGGGTGTCCTGGACTGGAAGTTGAGGGACTCTGTTCAGGCCCAGTGCTGTCATTAACTGGCTGTATGACCTTGTAGGACCCCTTGGTCTTTCCTCATTTATAAATGGCAATGACCATGTCTTTCTTTTACAGTATTGCTTTAAGTGTGAACTCAACTGATGCACCTGAAAATGTTTTACAAACTATGGAAATTATACAAACAGATATACAATCACTTGTATAACAAAGTAACGTTTGCAAGTTGCTTTAACAAATAGATATACAATCACTTGTATAACAAAGTAACGTTTGCAAGTTGTTATATTTGGGCATCTAGGTTTATTGACATGGATTTTTGGGTATTAACAGAGGGATTCAATTACTTTATTACAATCATATGGGACAACGTGCACCCCCTTCCTCACTTTAGGAGCATCTACCATTTAAATGTCTTGTTTGTATAGTCATGTTGTTCCTTTGAGTGCATTAACGAGCTGTGTGGAAGTATGGAAATTGGGTGATCCCATCTTTATGGAGGGCTCCCTATATGCCTGGGTCTTGGCAGCTTTTATGTACAGAGTGAAGGAATCACAAGCTGCAGGCAATCCCCTGCATGGCTTATGGCTTTGGATCAGGGGCCTGGGTGGCCAGGAAAGCTGCTGTCCCGTCCAGCCCCCGCCAGCTGCTATGCAGCCTCGAACAAGGCATTGGAGCGCTCTGGGCTCCAATTTTTTCACCTGGAAAATAAGCATGTTGGGCTGAAAAGGTGTCTTCCAGCTCATACATGCCTTAAGGTAGTTCCATTTAAAAAATGACAATCCATCCATATTTTACGGCAAAAATATGATTTTAAGAAAGTTGGAAATAAGTCACCACGTTTCTCCCACTTACTATCTTCTCTGGTAGAGCTCCTCACAGAGCAAAGTTGCAGAAGGCCCCACCTGGGTGCTGCCGCATAGGACACCACGAAGGGACAGGGAGGGACCTGGGGAGCGAATCCTTCACGTTTGCCTTATACTGAAGACTTTGCAAATTATTTGATCTCTAACATCAGTGCTTATTAGGCTTGTATTTTAAAATATTAATCAAAATTCAAAAAAGGTAATCTACTGACAGGTTTTGGGAGATACGAGCTGTCTGTTGCATAAAAAGAATTTTAAAGTGTCACGAGGAGCCCAAACTTGTCTGCCATTTAAAAAGCAAAATTTGGGGGTCTCCATGACCCAGATCAGTGTACAAGTCAGCCAAGCAGCGTCATCAGCATGGTGGAAAGTATGGCACTCGGCAGGGCAAGGAGTGCTTCGCTCTATTCAGAATGCCTCGGCCCCCTTGGTCAGCAGTTATCTGATCTTAGTCATCTTGTAAAGGATGTGGTAAGAATGAGAGGTGGTGAGTCAGACAGAAAGAATGTCAGGTCCACAGGTTTTATGAAGGTAATATATTACAGAAAAGAGCAGGCCCTTACCTTCCAGATGTGTGCATTTTTGAGAAGAATGGAATGAACACTGAATGCCCGTTATGTGTCCCCTGCCCCCCCACCATGATGTGATTCATAGTCTCATGCTTATTTTATACAAAACCAGACTGACATTCACAGACATTAAGTAATAGGCTCCACATTGCTTGTAAAATAAGCTGGTACTGCAAACCATTGGCCTTGACCCTTCTTAGCTGTGTCAGGACAGTTGCCTGTCTACCTGTTCTGAGCCTCAGGGTGCTCATCTGTGAAATGGAGTGACAGGACAGCTCTCCGAAGTGCTCTCATAAGGATTGTATGAACCCACAAGATATCCAAGACATGGAGGAATAGGCACCCATATCAACTTGAACCTGAAGATTGACTAAATGCCCTATATCACTTTGAGGTTATTTTCCAGAAATGAGAACAATTTCCCGTTGTTCATGACCACTGGGGCAGTAAGAGTGGACTCTCATACCGTCTGCCCTTCAGAATTGCCTGGGGGCTTTAAAGGAAGCTGATGGCCCAGAGTTTGATTCCGTTGTTCTGGGGGGACAAAGGGCGGCGTGGGTGTTATTATTTAAATGCCCCAGTGTTTTACTGGCCAGTGAAGCAGAAGGCAGTGGACGGAGGACAACTGCTGTTTCTCATGCCGTCAGCCCAGCGCCACGACCTGACATTTTCCCATGCCCGGGTCAAGCACCAAGCCATCACATTTTCATTTGCCTTGCTGTGCCCAGCTCGTTCTTACACAGAAGTTCAGGAAGTGCCACTGCTCATAAAGCATCCCCCATGTGTTTAGAGTTATTTCTGAATTCATTTTCAATGACTCTTTCAAGAAAATCTGCACATTTAAGTGTTTATGATATAGATGAGAGTAATCTCATCTAATCTCACCAACCAGTGGTTTCTCCTGTAGATCTTGTCTAAGGCAATGAGGGAGGAGCATCCAGGCTTACACAACTGTTGTGCAAGGTAGAATCTGTTCATGTATTCTGAAAATGTCTGTTCAGGGACTACCATGTGCTGGGCGCCATCCAGATATTAGCAATTGGAGACCCCAGAGCTAGGCCCCATCCTCAGTAGGACCTGTTTGTTTGTTTTCTCCATGGTGCTGTAAATGATTATAACAGACTAAGATTAAATATGTGTCTATAAATAATAGAGGAACACAAGGTACTTTGGGAATGCAGAGGAAGGCGTGCCGGGAAGGGATCCACACCACCCCCTATGGGGTCTGCGGAAGACTTCCCCGCTAGCAACTCTCCAACTCTTCTTGCAGGTGACCTTGACCCTGACTTGGGGCATGATAATGGAAGGGGGCCGACTGCCAATCTGAGGAAGCCCGAGGCTGGCGGTGTTTTCTCCAAGGGGCTTCTGAATCTAGAGACTGTCCAAGATTCGAGAGCCTGGTGAGAAGCTTGCTCTTCCTAGTTCTACTCAGGGCCCCCGAGAGGCTGCTGAGTACCAGCCATGAGGGACAAAATCTCATTGTGTTTTGTACATTCACTTTCTAGAGGAAGCAGGGCATTTATTTCAGTTTCTCTTCCTAGTTAGCCTCAGAAGTAAAGCCCAAGCATGGCTTTTACTGCTAAAGGG